GGATACGAATCCGAGGTGTCACATTGACTTTTCAAACATTTTACTTTTAAAAGATATTTGAAAATTTAAACTTTTATTTGAATAAATGTTTGGTGGAACCCTTGATCAAAGTATGTAAAGAGAATTCAACTTAATTTGAAAATAAAAACTCAATATATTACATAAATATAATAGTGTATATTACAAAAATGATCAAAGCATATAGGATTCAACATTTAACTACATGTCAACCAAATTCAATACAATTTAATGCATACTGTTAAATCTTTTCTAATATGATCTTCGGTAGGAATGTGTTGTCTTGGCTCCTAGCTTTGATCTTCGTGCTTCTTTGAACCTACATGTGAAACATTCATACTCTAAGTCTTTGACTTAGTGAGGCATATAAAGTGCGTAATAAAAACATTAAAACATCTAATCATATGCATAACATATTATAAAATCATATCATAACGAAATAATAGAATATTTCATAAAACAAAACATATATTATCATGCATTATTCATTCATGTTATTTCTTTTAATAGCCCAAAATATATTACTGAGAACTGAATGTTCGTGAGTGCATTGAGGTTGTGCACTAATGCTGCCACCACAACTCACATATATTGCACCAAAGTGCCACGTAGAAATTGCACTAAAGTGCCACAAAGAAATGTCCCAAAGGACCACATAGATATGCCCCGAAGGACCGCGTAGAAATGTCCCAAAAGATCACGTAGAATTGTCCCGAATGACCGCGTAGAACCCTCGATTCTTGGTATGCCACCTTTAGCTCTCATATCACATACTTTTTGGCTTTATCATTTATACCATTTCACATAGCTTATATCAAATAGGCAAATAATCACATAGATCACGTCACATAGATTATATCACATTTTCATATAATCACATAGTTTAATATCACATAGCTTATATCACATTTTCATTTAATCACGTAGATCATATCACATAACATGAAATATGAACAATGCATGTTCACTTAGTAACATAATCACAACTATACTTATACTCATGTAAACATATAATCATATCATTTCATGAACTTTCAAACATTGTTTAATCAATTATTAGAAATAGACTCATCGCAAGTATTCTTTTCATAAAACAATATATATATTATAGTATGAACTCACCTTATCTTCACTTAATCAAAGCAAAACTCTTATCTCTCTCTTGGTCAATCTTATATCGTCGATTCGTCCGGAAGTAGTTTTTGTTTGATATCTACACAAATATACAATCGATATGAATATCAGAATTCGAATAACTATTAATCAATCATCAATAAATTAAGCTAAAAGAAACACTTAATTCACAATTTCCTTCTGAATAGTATCGGTACCCCAGGCCCAGTACCGATACTTGTTCACTATGGTATCGTACTATACTTCAGTATCGATACCCATTCTACATTCTGGAATTTCATTTCTAAAAATGGTACTGATACTTATCTATTGGTATGCATACCTTTAGTATCGATGCTACTCATTCGGTATCGATACTGGTTGAAGGATTCATACAATTTTACCTTATGGTATTGATATTGTTCTTCCAATATCATACTCAAACCCAAATTTCACATGTTTTTTCTTTGAAGTATCGGTACTGTTTATCCAATATCGATACCCCTTACCTAGAATTTACTCATTTCAATTCAAAAATTTACCAATACTTGCTTAATCCCCATACTTTTAACTCCTTTCAAGCTTTTAAACTCAACTACACTTAATAAAACCAACTTATATCACTTTAATATACCTAAACATCCAAAACCCCACTAGATCGCTTGAAACTAAAAATCATCTCAATTTTTCAACATTGTTCTTAATCCTTTCCAACACCTTAATCATCTTATTCTAGCTTATTACAAGTCAAATATAACTTCAAATTTCAATTACTAATAATTTCTTATCAATTCACTTAAAAACCCTCTTTACTAAATCACTTATAATTTTTCTCTCCTTTAATTTCTACTTCTCTTTAAGCTTCCTTAAGCTTTCCTAACACTCCAAGAATCAATACCAATCATAAATTACAAGAAATAACCAAGTTACAGATTTTTATCTTAGCCAAGCAATCACGTGAAGAGGAGGAAGAAATGATGAAGAAAGAATTCTAGATTTCTCTTAACTTTCTCTTTCCTTTCCTACGTGTATTTAATACACCACACATGAATTTTAAATTCATTTACTTGTATAATGACCATTATGCCCTTTCATCTTTCCATCTTTGCTAAACAATCATACATAAAGAAATTCCAATTAAGTCCCTAAACTTTTCAATTTATCCATTTTAATCACAAATTTTTAAAATCTTACACTTTGGTCACTAGCCCGGTTTTTAGGATGTTACAAATCTCCCCCTTAAGAAAATTCGTCCCTAAATTTTTACTACACAAAGAGATGGGGAAATTGTCTATCCATATCTTCTTCACATTCCAATGTTGCTTCCTTTACTTTGTGATTCCTCCACAAAACTTTGACCAATGGAGTTATCTTATTTCGTAACTGTTTAACTTCATATGCCAAAATCTGCATTGGTTCTTCCTCATAAGTCAAGTCAGGTTGAAATTCTATCTCTTTTGGAACAATGATATGAAAAGGATCAGATCGATACCTTTTAAGCATGGAAACATGAAAAAATTATAAATCTTCTCTATTTCTGGTAGTAAAGCTAAATGATATGCTACTGATCCGACTCTCTTGACAATCTCATATGACCCAATAAATCTGGTACTAAGTTTTCCTTCCAAAATGTAACACTTTCTTCCAAGGAGAAATTTATAAGAATACTTTATCTCCAACATCGAACTCAAATTCCTTTCTTTTTAAATCCGCATATGACTTCTGTCTATCGGCTGCCACTTTAAGAACGTCCTTGATCAAGTCAGGACCAAGAACGTCCCAATCCTTGAGCTCATACCAATTTAATGGTGTACGACACTTCCTCCCGTATAAATCTTTATATGGAGCCATCTTGATGCTCGGCTGATAGTTGTTATTATAAGAAAAGTTAACAAGAGGCAAATACTTCTCCCAAGATCCTTTGAAATCGATAACACATGCCCTTAACATATCTTCTAGGATTTATATAGTCTGCTCAGACTGTCTATATGTCTGAGGGTGAAAAGTTTTACTAAAGTTCAATCGAGTCCCTAAAGTGCCATGTAACGTTTTCTAAAATCTTGAGGTGAATCATGGACCTCGATCAAAAACAATCAAAACAGGCACACCATGCAATCGAACAATCTCTTTAATGTACAGTTCCGCATATTTATCCACAAAGAAGTCAGCTTGAACAAGAATGAAATGTGCTAACTTGGTTAATCGATTAACTATCACCCAAATTGAATCTCTCTTATTCAGAGTCAAAGGTAACCCCGTTAATAAATCCATCATAACATTCTCCCATTTCCACTGAGGAATAGAGATTGGTTGTAGCAATCCTGAAGTAATATGATGCTCAGCTTTTACTTGTTGACACGTCAAACACTTAGATACAAATTTTGTGATACTTTTTTTCATTCCTGGCCACCAATAACGACTTTTGAGATCTATATACATATTGTTTCCATATTGATATATATTCAACGAACTATAATGAGCTTCTGATAACAAGTCATTCTTCAACTCATCATCATTAGGAATCACAAGCCTTTATCGATAATACAAATTACCATCAAACTTAACTTCAAAATTCTTATTTCATTCATTTTTTTTCACTTGCTTCATTCTTTTCAAACACTTATCATCTTTACTTTGCAATTCTTTAATTCGATCCAGCAGCGTCGACCTAAGATTTAACTCTACACATAATGCACCTTCTCTATTTAATGAAAGTCTCGCATCTAAAGCTCGCAAAGCTGGGAACATTTTTCGAATTAAAGCATCATCTACCACATTTGCTTTCCTGAGGTGAAAATCAATTACCACATCATAATCTTTAAGAAACTCAACCCATATTCGTTATCTCAAGTTTAACTCTTTCTGAGTTATCAGATACTTCAAACTTTTATGATCTGTGTAAAGGTAACAACGTTCACTATATAAGTAGTGAAGCCATATCTTCAAAGCGAACACTACTGCAGCCAATTCCATATCATGTGCCGGGTAGTTCTTCTCTTGTGGTTTTAATTATCTCAATGCATATTCCACCACTTTGCCTTATTGCATCAAAAAACATCCCAATCCATTATAGGACGCATCACTATAAACCATAAAGTCCTTTACAGATTCCGATTAGACCAATACAGGAGCTTCTGTCAAAATCTGATTCAACGTTTCAAAACTCTTTTGACATTCAGGGGTCCAACTAAAGGATACATCTTTCCTGAACAATTTGGTTAAATACAAAGATATCATCGAAAAGTTCTTGACGAACCTTCGATAATAACTTGCAAGACCTCGGAAACTCTGAACTTATGGCACATTCTTTAGAATTTCCCAATCTAATACAACTTTTATCTTTTGAGGATCTACTCGAACCCCTTCTGCCAATACCACAGGTCCAAGGAATGCCACTCCAACAAAACTCACACTTAGACAATTTGGCATAAAGCTACTTATCTCGTAGAGTTTGCATAACTACTCTAAGATACACTAAAATATCGTTAATGAAAACAACCACAAACTGATCAAGATAAAGTTGAAACACTCTATTCATTAAGTCCATAAATACAGTAGGTGCATTAGTCAACCCAAACAACATAACAATAAACTCATAATGACCATATCTCGTTCTAAAAGTCGACTTAGAAATATCTCTTCCTTGAATCTTCAATTGATGATATCCAGACTACAAATCAATCTTAGAGAATATCGATGCTCCTTTTAACTGATCGAACAAATCATCGGTTCTAGGGAGAGGATACTTGTTCTTTATGGTCAACTTATTAAGTTATCAATAATCGATGCAGAGACGCATTGCACTATCTTTCTTCTTTACAAATAACACTGGAGCTCCCAAGGTGATATACACTAGGTCTAATAAATCCCTAATCCAATAACTTCTGCAACTGAATCTTTAGCTCGTTTAGCTTCTTCAGGGCCATTATGTACGAAGACATTGCAATTGGTGCAGTTCTAGGCATTACCTCAATTTGAAACTCAATATCCCTATCAGGAGGTAATCTCGGTAACTCAAATAGAAATACGTATGGAAATTCCTGGACCGTCGGAATGTCCTCTAATCCTTTCTCCTTAACTCGAGTGTTAATCATGTTAGCAATGAAAGTCAGACATCCTTGTAACAATAACTTTTTAGCCGACATCTCTGATATAACGTTAGTTAATGGATTAAATCTTTCACTGCTCACAATTTTGATCCATCAGGACTTATCAAAGTTACTCTCTTCGATCTACAATCTATATTGGCATGATAACGATACAACCAATCCATTCCCAAGATCACTTCAAACTCATCAAATGGTAATTCCATTATATTAGCAGGGAATTTAATTCCCTGAATCCTTATAGGACACACTTGACATAACTGATTTACTCGAGCACTATGCCATAATGGGTTAGTCACTATCACATCGTTGCTTATTACTTTTAATTGGATTTTCAATTCTCTCTCTAATTTGCAACTAATATAAGAATAAGTCGATTCCGAATCAATTAAAACCAAACCAAATTTATCAAGTAACTGGAAAATACATGTAATGATCTCTGGATTATCACGATCTTCAGTAGTCTTAATGTTGTATACCCAGGCAGTTGAACGTATCTCATGTTGAGTGGACGAATTAGATTGATTCCATCATTGTCCTTTTTTTCTACCTATCTGAGACACTGTAGTAGATCGCTCTGTTTATGTTGACTCTCTAGTCATCAATGGACAATCCCGAATAAAATGTCTGGTGTCCCCACATCAATAACATGCTCTAGAGACTACTCTACTTACTCCGGTATGATTCTTCCCACAATGCTAACATTGCTTCGATTGAACTTGATTAGATATTCCAGTTCCAGACCCTACTGACTAAGTCTATTTAGCTATCATCAGATTTGATCCTCTGGCAAAGAATGTAGCTGACTTAGATTTAGTCTGAGGTTGAAAACCAGAACCTCTGCTTCTGTTTGAAGAAGCACTAGTTCTCTTGGTCATCTGAGCTTTTTACTCTGCAAACCTCTCATTCTGAGCTCTCTCTAGAGTTTTAGCACAATTGGCCACTTCTTGGAATGATGACAGATTCAAAACTATCAACAACTCCTTTAGTCTGGGGCACAAACCCTCAACAAACCAATCACATGCATCCTTTTCAATCAGAACTAGCTCTGTAGAAAATCTACTCAGTTTATTAAAATCGCACTCGTAGTTATACACGGTACGATTCCCTTGCTTCAGAATCATAAATTCTTGCTTCATTTGCCTAATAAACTGATCACCGATGTACTTATTCTTGAACTCTTATTAAAACAACGACCACGTCACTTGGTCACTTAACATTCTTATAGTGACATTAGTCCACCATACCCGAGCATGCCCTCGTAGCAAAGAGACCACTCCATCTAACTTCTCCATTTCAGAACAGTGGAGACCCTCCAACACGATTTTAACATCGTTAAGCCAAATGTTCACAGTAACAAGACCTTCCTCAACTTCACCCTTAAATTCAAGAGCTTCTAACCCTTTCAACTTTTTTTCTATATTCATCTTAGGAGTTGAGGGAGTAGGAGGTTGGAAATGCGTCAGAATAGCTTTCAATGTCCTGAAAAACACTCTCTGATATTATACATGCACTCACTGAGGTGTTTGTTCTTTACCTTTCCTGACCAGGGCAGGTGAATTGCTACTACCTTAGCCTCACTTATATATATATATATAACAATATATATATATTATAGTATGCACTCACCTTAGCCTCACTTAATCAAAGCAAAACTCTTATCTCTCTCTTGGTTAATTTTATATCATCGATTCGTCCAGAACTTTCTTTCGTTCGATATCTACACAAACATACAATCGATATAAATATTGGAATTTGAATCATTATTAATCAATCATCAATAAATTAAGCTAAAAGAAACACTTAATTCATAATTTCCTTCTGAATAGTATCGGTACCCCAGGCCCAGTACCGATACTTTTTCACTATAGTATCGATACTATACTTATGTATCGATACCCATTCTATATTTTGGAATTTCATTTCTAAAATTGGTATCGATATTTATCAATTGGTATCGATACATTAAGTATCGATCCTACTCCTTCAGTATCAATACTGGTTGAAGGATTCATATAAATTTACCTTATAGTATCGATACTGCTCTTTTAGTATCGATACCCAAACCCAAATTTCACCTATTTTTACTTTGAAGTATTGGTACTATTCATCCAGTACCGATACCCCTTACCCAGAATGTACTCATTTCAATTCAAAAATTTATCAATACTTGCTTAATCTCCATACTTTTAACTCCTTTCAAGCTTTTAAACTCAACTAAACTTATTAAAACCAACTTATATCACTTTAATACACCTAAACATCCAAAACCCCACTAGATCGCTTGAAACTAAAAATCATCTCGATTTTTCAACATTGTTCTTAATCCATTACAATACCTTAATATTCTTATTCTAGCTTATGACAAGTCAAATATAACTGCAAATTTCAATTACTAATCATTTCTTATCAATTCACTTAAAAACCCTTTTTACTAAATCACTTATAACTTTTACTCATTTAATTTCTAATTCTCTTTAAGCTTCCTCAAGCTTTCCTAACACTCCAAGAATCAATACCAATCATAAATTACAAGACATAACCAAGTTACAGATTGTTACCTTAGCCAAGAACTCACGTTATGAGGAGGAAGAAATGATGATGAAAGAATTCTAGATTTCTCTTAACTCACTCTTTCCTTTCCCACGTGTATTTAATACACTACACATGAATTTCAAATTCACTTCTTTATCTAATAACCATCATGCCCTTTTAGTTTTCCATCTTTTCTAAACAATCCTACAAAAAGAAATTCTAATTAAGTCCCTAAATGTTTTAATTTATCCACTTTAATCACAAAATTTTAAATTCTTACACTTTAGTCACTTACCTGATTTTTGGGATGTTACAAAACCGGCTGGTCAAATGTCATAGGATATATGGTTAGTACATGCCCCTAGACTACAATCGTACTTCTCTAAACCAAATCTCCAAAGTCGAGCTCTTCTTTGTAATAAGCTAACCTATGTTTTCTAATTGTTAGGGCTTGACCTACGCATAAAGGAATACCAGTAAAGTTTGTCCAAATTCTGTAAGGTGCCTCACTAGTAATGTAAGAGTTACTTATCCGAGAAATTTTGACTCCACTCCAAAAAAGAAATTGGGATATATTACCACTCTATGAACCTAACCTCGTAACCAAGGTCGAATTGATTTCACAAGGATGATTCTGTTCAGATTCTATTATTGGGAATAAGGAAGAGTTCTGACGAGAATGTATACTTAGCTGGTGAAGGATTAATAGGGGACTCGTACTTCTGTAAAAACTACCTGAAGATAATGAAGAATTTATGATAGCTTCACTTATGCATTTATGTGACTTGAGTGAATTTCGAGGACGGAATTCTTTTAAGGGGAGGAGAATTGTCACACCTCAATATATGGGCTAGATTTTAACAATTTTTAGTATCAAATTAAAGTTATAATAAGGGAAAATTGAGGTAATACTCTACTACCTTTTGTATGTTTTTCGGAACCCAATGATAAATGTAAATGCATGAATGGAAATAACTGGTCCATTAGGTGTAGTTAGCTATCATTGGACTCAAACGAAAATTAGAATAAAGACGGAACACTATATAAGACTCTAATGGCTCAAAAAAGAAATTGGTAGACTGATCAGAAACAAATCTAAGTTCAAAGATTTAATCAGTGAATCAATCAATCTCATAACGCATAAATTCTGATTAATCTCATTAAAGGTTAAGGGTTAGAAATATTTGGATAAGAAATTACCAAAAATAGCACTATATGGTAAAATTACGAAAATACTCTTATACTGTAAAAGGACCAAGACTTCCCTTAGTGGTGAAAATAACCTCCAGTGATCAAATAAACAAATTACTCTGAACTGTAAAGGAACTAGAATACTTTCAAGCCTAGGTTATTAGAAGTAATGTCGCTGATAGAATTGAATGAAATTACGATAATACTTTTAAAACGTGAAATGACTATGGATGGCTATGATAATGGAGTCGACCTGAGAACTTATATTTTAATCCACTCGAATCTTGGAATCACTGATTCAATTCCTGATTTATTTAGAATGCTCCTGAAATGTAATATGATTTGAAGCACGTCCAAGCTCTGGAATAACTAAATACTCTCAGCTCTGAAATGTAATATGATTAAATAACCTCATATACCAAAATAACTATATTATATGACCAAGTTGAACTGAATGGAAGTACTATATATATTTGAATTTCGGAAATGACTGAATTACTCTGGAAACTCTGAAGTGGCCGAGATAAACTTGAATACTAATTGATTTAAGTACCCTAATGGCCTTGAATTAAGCGAATAACTTGGATAAGTCTGGAATCACTGAGGATCTTATATGTTGTACCATCCATAAGGGTTTTGAACCACGAATCAAGTACGTCAATATTTCTTGATATCGTTACAATGCATAAATAAAATAAAGATCATTGGAGTACATGTTTCTCTCCCTCAAATCCATTCAGTGATGAATCTAAAAATGATCAATTGACGAGAGTTGTCTGTATTAAAGAGTGAATACTCTTGAAGTTCATCGATTTGATCGGTTGACAGGTATTAGTGCTTAGATTTGTTCAGTTCGAGTTAACTCGATATCCCGATAGATTGACACAAATCTTAAATGCCCAGAATCTTCGTTTCTCTATTATTAGATCAAATAACTCCTATCATATTTGAAAACATGAATAACTCTGATGCAAAGGATTTTGAATACCTGTCTGATTACATAGTTCCTCCAAAAAATATCTGAATACTATATGATCCTGATGATTCGCGTTCTAAATAATTGATGAATTTGTCAGCTATCAAACCCTTTTATATAGATTTTGTCTATGAATTTAATCAGTTTACAGAAGCTTCATGACTCTTTATCTAATAAACACCAATCACATCAGAATAATATCTGGAACCTCTAGTTTGTTCCCTTATCACACGAATATTTTCTCTGATTTTAAAAGTACTTCTCTGTTATCTGAAATACAATCAAACTTCTGATTTCTGCTCTAAACATTGATATTTGTTTTGATCTGTGATCTCTATTCTGATCTTTGATCTATGCTCTGATTTTTTATATATCTATTTATTGGCTGAAATTATTTTTATACGGGGTACTATGAGACTTTGGTATGACTGAAGAATCTGGCAGGTTCAGTCGATGTTGATAATTACTTGCATAGGTTCAATATCGATTGGTAATTCCTTATGGACCTAAGGCGACTCTTGGATGGGCTCCTGGGCCTAATGGGCATAGTGGTAAGACCTTATGAACCCTAAGGCATTCCACCGGAGTTGCTCGTGGAGTACGGTACATGTGATTAGGGGTCTGAAATCTGTTTTATTCATGAATGTTGGTAAATTTTACTTTTGTATTTATAAATTGTTTTATTCTTTTAAGCGTTTTAACAAAAAATTTAATTTTCTAAGATTTTTACGGTGGGTCACTCCGGTGGCCCTAATATGACACCTCAGATCAGATCAGGTAACCCGTATTGGTTTGTGGGTGTTATATTTAGTGGTATCAGAGTTTAGGTTGAGTCAAGTTTTCTGGGTAGACCGGTCGATCGAATTTCATAAGATATCTGGTTAGTACATGCCCCTAGACTACAATCGTAATTCTCTAAGTCGAAACTCCAATGTCGAGCTCTTCTCTATAATAATCTAACCTAAGTTTTATATCCGTTAGGGCTAGACCTATGCATAAAGGAATACCAGTGACGTTTGTCCAAATTTTGTAAGGTGCCTCACGAGTAATGTAAGCGCTACTTATCTGAGAAATTCTTACTCGACTCTAGAAATGAAATTGGGATATGTTACTGCTCTATGAACCTAACCTTATAACCAAGGTCTAATTAATTCCATAAGGATGATTCTGTTTAGATTCTTTTATTGGGAATAAGGGAGAGCTCTGAGGAGAATGTATGCTCAGCTGGTTAAGGATTAGTAGAGGACCCGTACTTCTGTAAACGCTACCTGATGATAATGAAGAATTTTTGACAGCTTTACTTATGCATTTTTTGTGACTTGAGTGAATTTCGGGACGAAATTATTTTAAAGGGAGGAGAATTGTTACACCCCAATATAGGGGCTAGATTTTAACAATTTTAAGTATCAAATTAAAGTCATAACAAGGGAGAAATCGAGGTAATACTCTACTACCTTTTGTATGCTTTTCGGAACCCATTGATAAATGCTAAATGCTTGAATGGAAATTATTGGTCCATTAGAATTAGTTAGCTATCATTGGACTCATAAGAAAATTGGAATAAAGACGAAACATTATATAAGAATCTGACGGCTCGAAAAAGAAATTGGTAGACTGACCAAAAACAAATCTCAGTTTAAAGATTTAATCAGTAAATCAATCAATCTCAAAACGTGTAAATTCTGATTAATTTCATTAAAGGTTAAATGTTGGGAATATTTGGATAAGAAATTACCAAAAATATCACTATAGGGTAAAATTATGAAAATGCCCTTGTACTGTAAAAGGACCAAGACTTCCCCTAATGGTAAAAATAACCTCTGATGATCAAATGAACAAAGTATTTTAAACTCTAAAGGAACTAGAATACTTTCAAGCCTAAGTTATCAAAAGTAACGCCACTGACAGAATTGAATGAAATTACGATAATACACTTAAAATGTGAAAATAACTATGGATGGCTATAATAATGGAGACGACCTGAGAACTGTTATTTTGATCCACTCGAATCTTGGAATCACTGATTAAATTCCTGATTTATTTGGAATACCTTGAAGTGTAATATTATTCGAATCACGTCCAAGCTCTGGAATAACTAAATACCCTCAGCTCTGAAATGAACAAATCAACCTTGTATACCAAAATGACTATATTATATGACTAAGTTGAACTGAATAGAAATGTTGTATGTATTTGAATTTCGAAAATGACCGAATTACTATGGAAACTCTGAAGTGACCGAGAGAAACTTAAATACTAATTGATTTAAATACCCCAATGACCTTGAATTAAGCGAATAACTTGGATAAGTCTGGAAACACTGAGGATCTTATATGTTGTACCGTCTATAAGGGTTTTAAACCACGAATTAAGCACGTTAACATTTCTTGATATCGTTGCAATGCTGAAATAAAATAAAGACCATTGGAGTACTTGTTTGTCTCCCTAAGATCCATTCAGTGATGAATATAAAGATGATATATTGACAAGAGTTGTCTACATTAAAGAGTGAATACCCTTCAAGTTAATCGATTTGACCAGTTAATAGGTATCAGTGCTGGGATTTGTTCAGTTCGAGTTAACTCGATATCCCGATAGATTGACACAAATCTTAAACGCCCTGAATCTTCATTTCTCCATTATTAGATCAAATCACTCCATTCATATCTAAAAACACGAGTAACTCTGATGCAAATGATTCTGAATACCTGTCTGATTAAATTGTGTCTCCGAAGAATATTCGAATACCATATGATCCTGATGAATCATGTTCTGATTAACTGATGAATTTGTCAACTATCAAACTCTTTTATGGGGATTTCATCTATGAATTTAATCAGTTTACAGAAGTTTCATGACTCCCTATATGATAAATACCAATCACATCTGAATAATATCTGGAACCTCTAGTCATGAATGTGTATGGCTAAGATCTATGATCCACCACATATGGAATAACTGTGGTTTATCATCTGGAAAAGAAGTTGCTATTATCTTGTCTATAGATAATACAACATGCATTGAATAACTCAAGAGTGGGTACATCAAAGGTGATAGAACAAAACATATTGTACCTAAAGTCTTCTTACTCATGACCTTCAGAAGTTTAAAGGGATAAAAGTTAATCAGACCAGTTCAAGTGAGAATTTGATAGATTTATTCACTAAGGCATTTCTTACATCTGTGTTTTAGAAGTTAGTACAGTACATTGGAATACGACACCTTAGAGATCTCAAGTGATGTAGCCATTAGAGGGAGTAAATTCACGTTGTATTTTTTTTCCTTAACCTTGGTTTTTTCCTCTGGGTTTCCAGGTAAGGTTTTTAATGACGCAGCATATCAATCATATAATTATGTACTCTTTTCTTTCACTAGGTTTTTGTCCCACTGAGTTTTTTCTAGTAAAGTTTTAACGAGGTACACTTAGATAATAGGCATCCAAAGGGGAGTGTTATGAATATATAATGTGGATGTCATTATTAATCTTCACTTGAAATACCAAAGGACTGGACTCTTCACATGTATTATAATTTTTAGAGAGCATTCTTCACCCTATATATACGGGGTTCATGTACTCATCAAAATAAGAAAAATATAGATACATTTATCTCTATTTTCTCTCCCATATATCTCATTTATTTTAAAAGATTGATGATATTGTAAGATATTGCTCGTCCCTTATTATTTAAATGGTATTTAATATGTTTATTTAATAAATTAATAAAAAATATTTCGTTTGATAAATTTTAGTTATGTTTTTATGATTTATTAATAGAATATTTTATCAATGGTTCAAAAATAATGAAATATGTTTTCGTTTTATAGAGATTTATTTTTATGTTTTTTTCTTAGGGTCCTGAAAATATCCAAGACGAGTCAGATATAATCGTTGTTATATAATATACTAAACAATTAACCTGGATTGGGTATTGTAGAGGTCTATTATGAGACAATCCTCTCAACTTAGTTTACTCTATTCACAATATTAGAATTTTAACCATTGTTTAAAAATTCTAATACCTTATTCGACTAGACCAACCAATTATTGATAATTCATATTTTAATTTATAGTCTTAATTGCATCATTGCCCCTTAAACTATACATTTTGTATCAAGTTACCCATTAAAGTATTTTTCGGAACATTTTAACCCCTAAAGTTTAAATTGTTACCTCATTTATCCCAAACTATTAATTCTGTTAAAAAAGAGTAAATTACATATCTAGTCACTCAACTATTCATAGCAGTTTCATTTTTCAACTATTTTTTGTTGAAAAACACCACTAAACTTAAGTTTTTGTTCCGTTTTGATCACCTAATTCAATTCGATTTGTTTTAAAATTTATAATATATAAGAATTTATTTATGTCACTAATTTTTTACTCTACACTTAAATTTAATTTCAAAAAGAAAAAGATGAGAGAGAGAATTGTAAATTCATAGCATGTTGATGTATAAGGCTATGGGGATGATCCGTGGAAACCTTAAAGACTGGAGCTCTGTAACTGAACCTAAAAATGGTGACAAAGTTAAGGGAATGGGAAAAAGGAAGAAAAAAAGGAGCATGGCCAAAAGAAGAAGAAAAAATTGAAGCATTCAACTCTATATTCATAAAGTTTAAGAGATTTTTTCAATTAAATGGACATAGATTCATATTCAAGAGGACGAAACAAGGTTAGAATTTGAGTAGGTGGAAAGAAAATAGAAGGAAGAAAAAATGGATCAAAATTGAGTTTTTATATATGTGTGAAATAATGCCTTTTGGTGGAAATTTGAGTGTGTCATGTCATAACGACGTAACTATTTCACGATGGACCGACCAAAATAAGAGCAATGTCAAAGTTCAACGATTAAATTAAAATGTTTTAAACTTCAATGAGTAAAATATGAGTGACAAAATAGTTGAGTGATGAACAATATAGATTACCCTCAAAACAATAATAATAATAAATATTAAATAAAAGATAATAGAGAAAAGATTTTGATTTTCCAATTAAGTCCCAGTATCATTCAATAATGCCTACTTGTTCATCCTTTCCTAAAAGCTAAAATGCTATAAATGCATATAGCTTAAACACATGAATTGAATTCATGCAGTGCAACAGATTCCTAATACAATTAATGGCTCTATTAACTCCCATGACATCATTCCCATATCCTAAATTTATTAAATATATAATTTTCCAAAAATAATAAAAATTAAAATATATGCCAAAATTGGAATATTTATATTAAACTAAATTTATATACATTATTATATTTAAATCCATACTCAATAATATTAACCAAAGTCTTAAACCCAAAATCAACTCTAATTCATTATCCAAACCCAACTAAATAAAAAATAAACTCAGCCCAAATCCAATTAATATTGTCAAAATTAAATATTACAATTGGAAGGGCTTTCTCTCTCGATGCATGTTAGCTAGACTAACAGCGGGAGAAGGCGAAACTATTTTCTCCCGATTGTGTGATTTCCCTATTGTTTCTGAGACTATTTTTTAGGGGTTTTGGTGGACTATGTCAGGTGATGCCCCTATTAACTGGCGAGTACTCTTTGCGGTGGGGATTGACCAGGAATTGGAGTTATTTCTACCAATGGTGGTTAAGGGTTCGTGTGTAGTAAAGCCACCGAAAGAGGTGTTCGAGGAAGGGATTCTGGACTGGAAGCATGCGTTAGTTGGGCAATTTATTGGCTCGGCTCCAAGTTTTAACAACATTCAGAAAGATAGTTACACTGTTATGGAGTAAGGTTTCTCAGATCAAGGTGAGTATAGCTGGGCCAAACTTATACATTTTTCTTTTGCAAATTCGAATGCTAGGGACTGGGTTTTAGATAATGGTCCATGGCATGTACAACATAAACCGTTATTTCTTAGGAAATAGGAGCCCAATTTGAAAGAATTACAATTCGATTTATGTTTCATGTCTGTTTGGTTTCATTTATTCAATGTTCCACTTGAGCTTTTTTCTAATAGGGGGCTGAGCTATATAGCAAGTGTTGTGGGGAAGCCTCTTCACATGGACTCAATTACAGCTGCTAGGGAAAGATTTGAATATGCTCATGTATGTGTTGAGGTTCCTGTTGGGTCTTCAATTCAGGAAAATATTGATGTTGTTTTGAGTGATGGATCAGTGGTAAGAGTTAGGGTTTTTTTCCTTGGATGCCAAGCTCTTGCACAGACTGTGGGCGGTTTGGGCATTCTATTAGATTTTACCCTCGGGGAAATGGGAAAAAGACTGAGCAGGTCTGGAGAATTAAGTGGCATGTGAAGGATGTTAAACATGATGTTTCTTCTGCTAAGGGTAAGGCAATAGAGGATGTTGTTTGTGCTGCAACAGCTACTTCTAGTGGAACAACTAATGGGATTAGTTCTGGCAAAGAATTTTCTGCTCTTGTGACATTACAAAATGATCTGGCTAATGTTGCTGATGCTACTGCTGGAAATAACTCTGCTACCATCTCAGCTTTTGATGGGAACTGCCTTGCTAATAATTCTGCTGATAAGGTAGATATGGTTAAACAGGCTGTGCAGTAGCCTCTTGTTAAAAGGGGCAGAGGAAGGCCTGCAAAGAAGGGTATGGTTATTAGAGGTTCAAAGAATAAATTTGAAATCCTTAGTGCTGTTGACCCTGGTAATCTGTTGGAAATCTCTACTGCTGATTCTAGTAAAAAACAGAGAGGGTTGTCTGATCATCCTTTCACTGGTCCTTTATTTACGTGGACAAATAAGCAACAAGATACATTCCTGTCACACAAGCTGGACCGAATCCTTGTCAATTCCAACTGGATTGAAACTTTTCCATCTTATGATGTCGAATTTCAGGCCCCTGGGAATTCTGATCACTGCCCAGGACTCGTTTGGTTACACAAGAAAATCCATGCTGCTATGCCTAAGCCATTTAAGTTTTTTAACTTTTGGACTGAGTATCCCAACTTCATGACCATTATCATGGAATCCTGGCAGGCCCCAGTTAATGTTAATCCAATGTAATCACTTTACCTAAAGCTAAAAAGGTTGAAGCGATGCCTCAAAGAGCTTAACAGGAGCTGCTACAGTGATATATCGGGGCGAGTTAGGGATAAAAGAGAGGAATTGAAGAGTTTGTATCTTGTCAATCTTGATCCATCCACTTCTAGTATGAACATTCATGTTGAAGTGGAAACCGAGAGGGAATTAAGGACCCTTGAGGAGGTTGAGATGTTATTCTATAAGTAGAAAACAAAAGTGGATTGGATCAAAGATGGTGACTAGGGTACCCGTGTTTTTTACTCTATAGTTGCAAGCAAAAGAAATAGCATCACAATTAGAGTTTTATTCAACCAAAGAGGTGAGAGACTTGATACTTTTGATGTTATGTCTAATAAAGTGGTTGGATTCTTTGTGAATCAGATGGGGGTAGCTGACCCTGAGGCTAAGGGCAGTAATGTTAGTACCATTAAGGAGTTACTTGGCTATTCTTTTCCAAGGAATGCAACTGACACCTTATGCAAGGATATCTCTGATGCTGAGATTAAGGAGGTCTTGTAGGGGCAAGGGAACAACAAGTCACCTGGTCCAGATGGATACAATGTTTTCTTTTTTAAAAAAGTTTGGGCTGTTGTAGGTGCAGACTTCTTGGCAGCAATAAGGTACTGCTTTGACCATTCTTTTATGCTTCCCTTATTCAATACAACGGTTGTTGTGCTTGTCCCTAAAGTCCCAAACCTAAGCCTAGTTAAAGACTTTAGGCCCATCTCATTATGCTCTGTTGTTTGCAAAACTGCCACTAGGATTTTAGTGGATAGACTTTCCTCTGTCTTTCATGGCATTATTTCTATGAACCAAACTGCATTTTTGAAGGGGGAAGCATAGTAGATAATACCTTATTAGCCCAGGAACTTGTTAGGGGTTACTCTAGGAAGAATATATCTCCTAGATGTGCACTCAAAATCGACTTGCAGAAGGCTTTCGATTCCTTAAACTGGGAGTTTGTAGGTGTGATCTTGCATGCTTTGGGATTTCCTGATAAATTCATTAGCTGGATATGGGCTTGCTTTACTAACCCTAGGTACTCTATTGTTCTCAATGGTAGTCTTGTTGGATATTTTATAGGAGCTAGAGGTGTGAGACAGGGTGATCCCATTTCACTCTACATCTTTATTCTTGCCATGAATGTGCTTTCAAACCTCTTGAATGTGGCTGCTTTAAATGGGGTCTTTGGTTATCATCCTAAGTGCAAAAGGATTGGGCTTACCTACCTTTGCTTTGTGGACGATCTGCTCATTTTCTGCAAGGGATCTATTGATTCTGTCATAGGGGTGCAGGTTATCCTAGACCATTTCTACTCCATGTCAGGTTTGAAGTTAAATGCTAGCAAGTGTCAGATATATGTTACTGGTATTCCTGCTGAGCAAATCAGTTTCATCAGGGAATTTACTGGCTTCAATTTGGGTACCCTCCCAGTTCGGTACCTGGGTGTTCCTCTGGTTACTAGGAAATTGGTTGTGAATGATTGTCAAGCTCTTATTGACAAGCTCAGGGAAAAGTTAAGTTTATGGGCTAATAAGCACCTTAGCTTTGCTAGGAGGTTACAACTCATTCGTTCCGTTCTGCTAAGCATCTCGAACTATTGGTGTAGGCAACTTATACTGTCGTATCCAATCATTAGGAAAGTGGAGCAATTGTGTTCCCGTTTCTTTTGGAATGGGGCTGATGTGCTTGCTAGAGGTGCAAGAGTTAATTGGAAGATAATTTGCCTTATGAAATCTGAAGGGGGATTGGGGTTATAAGATGTTAGATGATGGAATAAGTCTTGCATTGTGCAACTTATTAAAAAGATTTTGGAAAATGAAGGTTCACTCTGGGTGGCTTGGATGTACTCCTATGTAATTAGGAATGTTGATTTTAGGTAGATGGAAACCCCTGTAAATGCTAGCTGGAATTTTAAACACTTGCTGGAAATCAGGCCTGAAGTTGCTCACCTCTTCTCGGGTCAGGTTTGTGATCTGAGCACGAGGCGAGTCTTGGATGATATGCGTGCTACTGCCCCTAAAGTATCCTGGCACCATTTGATTTGGTTCTTTGGGCGCTTTCTGAAATTTAACATCGTAGCATGGATATCAATGCTAAATAGATTGTCTACTCGAGTTAGGCTCATGCATATGAGCTTAACTATTGAAAGTTGTTGTGTGGCACTGTGGTAGAGACAAGAGATCACTTATTTTTCGAGTGCAACTTTGCTAAACCCTAAACCTAGTGAAAAATAAATTTAGCAGATCAGTTTAACCCTAATTTGGTCCCCAAACCAAATCCCCAAATCCCTCTCCCCGTCGACCACCTTTCGCAACCTGAATCCGTCGTCGTCCGGCCATTGTTCGTCGCTCTGATGCCACCTATAGACTCACATTCGAACGGTTATAAAAACTCGACCCCTAGCCCGACGTGAATTAGCGTAATTAACGCCGTGAAACCCGTCAAAAAAACCCAATTGTCGGTCATTTTTGACGATTTCGGTTGTCACCGGGGTTATCTCGCCTCACTACCTGGACCATTGGGTTCACCATTGTCGTGCGCTCCAAACCCAGCCAGTGGGTCACCGTATCGTCGTCGTTTCTTCCGCCGATCGTTTTTGGGTAAGTCTGGTTCTATTTCTAGTTATTTGGTTTGGTTGATTTCGCTTCTAAGTGAAATTGATGGTTGCAATCGATGTTTGATGAGCTAGAGAGTAATCGGCCACCGACCAGCCATCTTCACGTATCCTCACGCGTCATCAGGTGTGCGCGGGGCTTATCCCCATCTTTAGATTCTTCTGGAACTGGTATGAACCGAGTCATCCCGAACCGTTCCAGCTCACCTGCCCGACCTGAACCGCTTTGACCCGACTCGTTGACTTCGGTCAGAGTTGACCGTTGACTTTGACCTGTCCGACCGTTGACCATTGACTTTGACCGAAAAAGTAAAATTTTCTGAAAAAGCCCTATTTTATGTTTTTCGACGTCCTGAGTCCGATTCTGAAGTCCGTTTTACCAAATTCGTACCCGGTAAGCCATTTTCAAGGTTTTATCTTTAGATTCAAGTTATTTCTCATTTAAGTTCAGTTTCTGACGTAAATTCATTTGCTTTATATCCGAGAAATTATTGGACATTGGATTAAAGTTCGAGAGTGATCGAATGGAGTTTAAATGGTTTACCGATATGGCATGGAAATCGAGGTAATACATTTTTACCTTATGCATGTTTTATGGAACATGTTGGAAATTGATAGATATAAGGATGAATATGATTGGTCTCATCTACATGGTAAATTATTCCTAAAGTTGATCCAAATATGACAAAAAGTCGATAGCCGAACATGACTCATATGGCTCGCGTAAGAAAGTAGAAGATCAATCGGAAATAATAATAATAAGTTCGGTGATTCAATAATAAACGAATTGCTTTCAAGATCTGTAAATTTTGATAAAAATTTCTTTAAAGGTTAAATACTGGGATTATATGGATAAGAAATTACCAAAATAGTCCTATGGGATAAAATTATGAAAATACCCTTGTATTGTAAATGACCAATACTTCCCCGGATGGTGAAAGATAACCCAACAAAGACATTCTTGACCAGTTATCAGAAATATTACATATGATTGAATTGAAAAGAATTACTGAAATTTCATCGAGATTCGTAATAACTATAATAACCTCCACTGATCAAAGGAACAAATACCCTGAACTTTAAATGAACTAGAATACTTGAAGCATAATATATCAGAAGTAATGTCATTAATATATTGGAATGAAATGGCAATGATATGCTTATAAAGTAAAAATCATAATGGATGGCTATTGTTAATGGAGACGACCTGAGAACTCATATCTTGAACCACTTAAACCTTTGAATTATTGATTTAAATTCTGGATCTATATTGGAATTATAGAATTTGCCGCTGAAGTGAATACTCTGGAAGTGCAATGATTGGACCAGTTGATAGACATCAGTGATGGGTCTTGTACAATTTGAGTTGACTCGATATTCTGATAGGTCGACACAAATCGTAAATGCCCTGAATCTTCATTTCTCCCTTATCAGCTCAAATCACTAAGAATTCTCCAAGAACCTAATGCTCAAAATGTCTCTAAATTTCAGAATAATGGAATCACTCCTTTCATATCTGAAAACACAAGTAACTAAGGATTCTGAATACCTTTCTGATTACCTAGTGCCTCCGAAAAATGTTTGAATACTATATGATCTTGATAAATCAGATTCTGAATAACTGATGATCCTGTCAGCTAATGAACTCTTTCGATAGTAATTCTAATTTTCGGCATTCTACTGGTATACTAAAGATCTGTGTTTCTCTGTCCGAAAAGATTATCTAGTATCTCCGAATAATATCTAGAACCTCTAGTGTGTTCCCTGATCACATGGATGTTTTCTTTGATTTTTGTTCTGATCTCTGCTTTGATTTCTGATATCTCTGTTACTGTCTGAAAAATGTTTTTATTCGGGGTACTCTGGGATATTGTATAAAGACTCTGACAGGTTCAGTCGATGATGGTAATTCCGTGTATAGGTTCAGCATCAACTGGTAATTTCTATCTCTGGCAGGTTCAGTTGATGTTGGTAATTCTTTGTATAGGTTCAACACTGACTGATAATTCCTTATGGACCTAAGGTGACCCTTGGGTAGGCTTTGAGGCTCCGAGAATCTTTTTTGGGTAAGCTCTCAGGTCCCAAGGTGCTCTTTTAGGTTATGCAGTTCTAGGGAACTGCATATGGCATTCGGTTGGAGGGTTTTACTATGGTTTTTAAAGATACGTTTTAAACTGCTACTGTTTCAAAAATGATATATATATATATATATATATATATTCACTGGTTTTGTGAGAATATACTAGATAACTTATTCTGATCTCCTGGACCCAGTTATCAGAAACATTTCCTCTGAATTGAAAGTTTTTTATCTTTTACTATCTGATATATCAGTAGGACCTCATATCAGCATAAAAATATGTATATGTTCGAATCAATAAGGAAACATATGTTTATCTGTTATCTACATATTCTTCAGCATCATCTGGTACTTCTATATTACTGAGCTTTCCAAAGCTCACTATGTTACTCATATTTTCATGTTAAAATGGATTGAACCAGTGCAATTATCGACATCGGTAAGGGAGTTCCACCAGCGTTGCTTGCGGAGTACGATGCATGTGTTTATGGGGCTTATAGGTTGTATTTTGTTTTTATATCCGAGTTTGGATAATGTTTTATTTTTTAATATTGTTAAATGTTGTTGTTGTGTTTATAAATTATTTTATGATTTTACATGTTTTAACACAAATTTTAATTTTCCGAGATTTTTACAGTGGGTTGCTCCAGTGACCCTAATGTGACACTCTAGATCGGATCAGACCACTAGTATCGATCTGAGGGGGTTACAATATTTTTCAATATTATACTAATAAATTAATTAAATTATAATAAGATATAATATTATACTCTTATTTTCATAATATTTAATAAAGTATTAATAAAATTAATTTTATTTATTAATTTTATAAAAACAATATTATTAAATTAGTAAATATTAAAAATGTATTTATTACTAATTTTGAAAATATAATATTATTATTTTAATATTATAATAATATTATTATTTTAATAAATAATTAATATAATTTATAATATTTTTATTTTAATAAAATATAATAGTCTTAATATTTTTATTTATAAAATAATAGAAATAATATTAAAAAATTATTCTAATATTTTAAAAATAATAGTATTAATAATTCTTTCTAATAAATAATATTATTTATTGTATAATATATTTATATATATCATTTCTAAAATATATTAATAAATGGAAAATGATTTACACAACATCATCCAAACATCGTAAAATAATTTCCGGAAACCTATATTTTAGAAAATATAATTCATCTTATTGAACTCATTTTTCAAAATATATTTTACATGAAACAAACGGATCCTAAGATAAGAGATAATTATTTATGATACTCTTCAACAACAACAACAACAACAAAACCATGTTCCCATATGTATGGGGTAAGGGGGAGGTAGGGTAGTAGGCTGACCCCAACGCCAGGTTGAGAGCAGCTTCCGTGGAAGACCTCTGGCAGTCAGAAAATTAAAAATAAAAATAAAATACAAATGCATGTATAAAGGAATAAATAAATAAATAAATACATAGTTGAACAGTCTTAATAATGCAGTCTTGATATGCGCGTCTGTAATTGGAAATAATCCCTGCAAATAAATCCCTGCATAGAAATCTCTGCATATAGATTGAAAATGTAAGACCCAACTAAATTTAAAAGAGGAAACCTGAAGAGAGTGATACACAAAAGTCAATGATAGCATGCTACGAGAAGGAATACAGTCAAAAGGGTTAATACCTAAACTAAGGCAACACTACTCCGCTACGCTAGTTCTAAGCCTTTATACATTCCAATGACAGAAAACGTGTATAAAGTAGAAGTCATGGAAACTACTACAAAGACATTAAAAAGAAGATGGAGATGTTACACCCTATAGCTGTGAACCGCCCTACTCGACTACCCTGGTCTTAAGTCTCCATACTTTTCTATCAGATGCCATGTCCTCGGTAAGTGCTAATTCCTTTAAATCAGATCTCAAGCAGTCTTCCCACTTTCGCCTTGGTCGTCCTCTTCTTCTGGCACCGTCGACTGTAATTGACTCTACCCTCCTGACCGCATCCGACGGTTATCGCCTAAGGACATGCCCAAACCACCGTAGTCTTCCCTCCCT